GTTAGTTTGTTTATCGGTTTAAAAGACAAAAACCATGCGAACCATTTCGTATGAAAGGAGTGGAGAGCCAGGTAGCCTTGAGATGATTTTTGAGGTGAAGATGAAAGTGTAAGTAGGGGGTTTCCAGGAGCAAAGGAGAAAGGATGGCCTGTTCAAAGGAATAAAAGAACATGGTCCATTATAGGGACAAGTAGTTATCAAGCTTGGTGTATATGGACTATGTGGTGAAGTATTAATAGAAAAATAAAGCCAAAAGAGTGACACAGATGGCATTCTGGAATCTCTCCAGTGATTATGGGAGAGATGTAAGGTAGTGGTTCATGCGTGGAAACAGGTGGTTGCCACGGGTGTGTGAGAGACGGTGCCGGCCAGCCAAAAGGCAACTGCTATATACACCACATTAAGCAGTCAAAAGAAATGTAGAATTTGATGACTAATCAGATGTGATGAATGATGGGGAAGCAGAAACCAAGAATGATTTGTAAAAGAGCACAAAGCCTCATTGTTTTCTACAGGTAAGCCTTTCTAGATCGTAGCCTACTGGTGGGTACGTCCATCTACCTTAATCCGCCCTTCCTGTTTCTCTTCACTCTTGTATTTCCTGTTCTCTACAAGCTTCCTGAGTCCTTCCCACCCCTAAATCATCTCTATCTCGTTTCTTCCCCTCCCAAATTTCTCTTCCAGCGTCATTTCCCGTTTTAGCATAGGAGAGAGCCGGAGACACGCGATACCCCTATTTATAGATGAAAACAAAATTGCAGCACCAGTTACTAGCTCAGTGACCTTGGGTATGCCATTGAATCTCACTCAAAGCTCAGGATCTTCATGTGTAAAACTGGATCACAATATCCTCTGCAGAGGGTTGTTCTGAGGTTCATGGGATAATGACAAAAGCACTTAGTGTAATCTGGCTCATAATTGCCAATAAATTCTTGCTACTGTTGTTACAGATAAAGAAGTGAAATGCCTTGCCTAAGGCCAAGAGCTAGGTACAAGGTAGTTGTAGACAAGTGAGTGGATTGCAGAGCAAAGTTCCTGGTTAGTAACATGTGATTCATTTATCTTATCTCCCTTTGCTGTGTCCTGCCTGCACAGCTAGTTCTATTCAACATACACCACTTACTCTCTTGGTAATGGAACAAGACTGATCCTGAGTCTGAGAAGCTGTTCCCAAAGCCTGTGGAAAAATCTTTAGCAAAATCAAGGTAACTTCTCTAAAAAACATCCTATACTCCTTAAGTCAACCTTAATTCAATTCACCTTTGGTTTTTCTGGTCAACTATTGACCAAAAAAGAGGCTTTGCAAGGGTGATGCTGTATGAAGTAAAGTTAAGATCACCTTTTCTTAGTTCAATGTTTCCCACACTTAGTGCCCTCTGCACATATGCCTGGCTAACTTCTATTTCTGAGAAGTGGAAAAAACACGATGTTCTAGAAGGCAACCTTGCTGTCCACCCTTCCAGCAGACTTCTCCCAAGGCTGAAACAAAGTACAGTGTTGCCATGGAGCCATCACTGAGCTCCACAACCAAACTCTCCTTTCAGTGGGGGACTTTCCAAATCTCAGAGCCCAGAGAATGTTATACCTCTACTCAATTTCCCATTTGCAGAAGAACCATGATATCTACTGTATAGTCAGCGGAATTCTTGGGCAAAAAAAAATGTATATATATATAATTTGTGTGTGTGTGTGTGTATGGAGAGAAAGGCTAAGAAATAATGCAAAATTCCTCTCCTCCTCACTTAGTTTTTGAAAAATAGCCTACTAATCCAACATAATAGAAAAATGTCAAGTATGTCAAAGGTAACAAAACCAAACTTAGTAATATGCATTGTTTTTGCCAAGCCCATAACTCTCTGATTAAAAAGATAGAGGGAAAGGGAAATGCAATAGAGAAAGAGTAAGAGATAACTTGCTCCTTTGGCCTAGCAAGTTAGTTAACCACGTGAACAGCCCAGCTACAAGAAACAAAAGAGAGCACAATATTACTACTCTGGAAATCTTTGAAAACCGGGGATATATTCATCTAAGAGGATTCAGTGGCAACAGTCTTCCCTCAAGGCACATGGATTTCTCTAAGGACTTTAAATTCTTTTCAGTGGGATTTGCATGGCATACTTAAGAACCTCAGAGCACTAAAGACACTGTCTCGTTTTTTTTCTCCCCAAATCTTTTAGATGTCAAGTATAATTATTCTATTTTCCAAGTGGAAAAAATCAGACACTAACCAATTCTGGAACAAGTTAACAGGTGCCTCCTAACATGATGTGATGGGAAATATCTGCTACTGCCTATGTGAGATCTCAGGACTTTGTACTAGATACCTGGTCTGGATTTGGGAAAATGTCAATGTCTCAAACAACAAAAAGTAGGGTGACTATTCCATATAAAAGAGGCTAAAGTAAAAAAAGGTTAAAGAAACACGGCAACCAAATGCAATGCATGATCCTTGATTAGATCCTGTATCAGGAAAAGCTAGCCATGAAGCACATTTAGGGGGGCAACTGGGGGAAATGTGAATATAGTCTGAATATTAGGTATTTATGACAAGTTTGGGGGACAAGATGACATTATGTTTATACAGGAGAATGCCCTTGTTTTTGCAGAAACGTGATTAAGTACTTAGGGCACGTTTTGCAGAAACGTGATTAAGTACTTAAGTCTGCTATTTATTGTCAAATGGTTTAGTACAAAAAGAGAAACAGAGACCAAATACAGCAAAATGCTAACATTTGGAGAACGTTAAGTGAGGGATATACAAGTATTTGTTCAACATTTCTTTCTTATTAAGATTCAATGGGTTTGAAACTTTTCAAAGTAAAAAGCTCGGGGGGGGGGGGGGGCGAAAAATTACGCACCGATGAATGGCTTTGACTTAGACTCGCTGGTGAGTGGAAGAGCTAAAATGATTTGAGAATGAAGGTAGGTACCTCATTTCTAAAGCCCTGCCTAAAAGATCGATTTCCAGTCCGACAACGGTGAATCAAATATTTTAAAGGAAATTTTCCTAATGTAAGTAAGCACTTTATTTTAGGAAAGGGACAAAAGTAACTGCTTGAATGAAGGGATATGTAGGATTTAATTCACTTGATTGGTCTTTTAGAACACCACTGGTGGAGGTTAAATTTCACAGAGCAGATTTTTAACTGAATACTAAAAGTTTTCTACTACCCGTACTTCTCTTATCAGCATGTCCTATTCCCGTGGAAATTTCTAGAACATGAGTTGCTGGAAGTCAGAAATTGTGATGATATTAACAGGTTATATACCTGGACAACTGAACATCTCACCACACATAAAGATAAACCCTTAATAAACTGTTGGGTAATTCTGTTACAGTAGAAAATATAATAGGCATTTCTTAATCTTCTCTCCCATTCTTGGCTTTCAAAACACTATCATACTCACCTTCAGGCATAGAAGCAAAAGTGTTTATCCACGTTTCTTTCGACGTATCATTAGGTACATTGGAAAAGAGGAAACGTTCCAAAAGAAAGGAAACACTGGTGAAAAGAAAGTGGTAGGCTAAAAATCAGCATGACCACTGACTTACCTTGGTTCCAGCTTTAGACATTTTGGTGCATAGATTGGCTTCCCCAGTGCTGAAATCCGGAATAGCTACAGATAGTTAGAGGCACAGAGACATTTATACTGGGCTGGTTTCAAATCAAACATTTGCTTAGTCATGAGAATAGGATCCAAAAATTGAGTCAGTCATTTAGAGGCTATTGATGGTTTCTAGAAAAACAATTGGGATTATGAAATAAAGGAAAGCTTCAGTGCCCCTTCTAATGCTTACCAAGCCTTGCTGCATTGTAGACTTTGCTGAGTCAAGGCACCAAAACCCAGCCAAAGTTTTCAAAATTAAAAACAAAAAAGTCCCTCTTACCTGGGCTATTTGGGGATTTCAAGGTGGCTGCTTGTCAGAAAACCAATGTCTTTTTTTTTTTTTTCTCCTTCAACAAAGCTTGCAGGAGAAAAGTCAAAAGGCCACCCTCTAATTCTGAACAGAAGTAACATGCTCCAGAGCAACAAAACTTAAGGACTACTGAAGGCAATGCATGATCTTGTGTTTGAAAGTGTCACAACAAAGAAGATTTTGGGGATGGTTAGCAAAAGTTTTAATATACACTGTATACTCTGCCATTGTAAGGTTTCCCGATTTCAATCAATTTAAGAATCTGTACTACAACAACACAGGAGAAGGTCCCTGTGTTTAGGACGTACACGCTAACGTCTTCAGGAGTAAAGGTGTAAGAGGTCTGCAACCTACTCTCAAATCGTTGAGCAAAAATACTACTACTCTCCAGAGTGGTAAAGTGAATGTAGCAACACGTTGTTATCAAGTGGCAAATCTGGACAAGGGGTGTGTGGGGATTCAGATTTGTGCAATTGTTCTTTAAGTTTGAAAGTTTTTCAAGACACGCGCCCAAGCTCTACTCCATACGAAGGGGCCCTATGGTATGCAGCGTGAGAGACAGAAATCTACTGTGGGAATTAGTATTCTGCAAAGGGTTAGCTAAGCTCAACCTGCCACATGCAAGGTGGCATTTTTCTGCCATGTTATCATCTGGGACTTGTTTAGAGAACATTTTTTGGCGACCATTACACCTCCAACTTTTGGAATGCGATTGCATTTTATGAAGAGAACATTTTTTGGTGACCATTACACTTCCGACTTTTGGAATGCGATTGCATTTTATGTAAATTCAAAGAAACAACAAATCCATTCTTCTCCATTTTCATTTTCCTGGTCAAGTATATTCTTTGCAAAAGCCCATCTTCCTCATGTTTTCACTAATAAAGCTCTCCAACAAATGGGATGCCCCAAGATAAGTTATGGTCAATTCCGAAAATGGCAAACGTGCCTTGATATGAAGATTACTGAGACACAAACTATCAAGTTATGAGCTTCGGTTTCTGAATTTGATAAACTGGAAAGAAAGTATCTACATAATACCAAGAATTTCATTAACCAATAATAATTTCCAAACCACACATCCAAAACTCCAGTGTTCCTTTATTGAATTCTCTCTTGAATTTCATCTTAAAATAAAAACTATGAACCTCAATTAGAATTAACACACATTCTAAAGGTTAGCTTTCACTATAGAAAGAAAAAAATCAAGCCCTTTTTAAAAAAGAATTACTAATTTAACAACCAGTGAGCATATGAAACAATATTTATCAGCAGATTCATGTAATAATTTAATAATAATTTAATAATTATTTTCCTTTATCTTAAAGAATACAGCTTTCCCAATCAAATGTAAACTTTGTTTTTATATCACAGAAGGACATCGGGATTTGAGAAGGAGCTGAATACATGACCCCAAAATGTGCTACTTAAGCATGTAGATTATTTGGAGCTGAAGGCAAACGAGATCCTGCAGATTCAAGAAAAACTTTGCTTCTCCCTTAACTACCTAAAATAATTCAGATCGGGGGCCTGGCCCAGAAGGGGAGCTACTACCAGAGAGAACTTTTAATCTGAAGGACTCACCGGTATGACCAGACAAACCTCTGCCACACATCTCTTCTCCTCCTGGGAACCCCCTCCTCGCCTTTGCAGCCCAGGCCCATAACGCACCCATTCCTTAGCTCAGGGTGGCAGATAAGCTGCGACTGCCTCATTCCTGGGTCTCCTGTCCTTACGAGGCTCCCATAGGTATCTACTTAGAATTGTTTTCCTCCTGTTAATATGTCTTATGTCAATAAACTAGCCAAAAGAACCTAGAAAGATAGAGGAAAAATTCTTTCCTCCCCATAAAACCTTTTCTAAAATTAAAAGTAATCCTCTTTTTCTCAAAAGGAGAAAATTACTTTTTAGTTTTGCTTATTGAAACTCTGAAGCACAAAATGAAAAATAGGGATTTTACACAATTTCATTGCTTCATACTTTTAAGGACTAAAATATCTTTGTATAAAACTATCTCCGCTATACTTCTACACCAACAAACTATACTTTCATTCCAATTAATTTTTAAAAGGAGTAGCAATTTCCTTTCAAACAGTTATAAAGAACTATAAAACTCTCATTTAACTCTAGAAAGGATGAGACCCTTTCATCATACAAATTAAAATGTGAAGTTTACTTGCAAATCCACATTCCGTCACTTTAGTATTAACATAAATACAATGAAATTGCCTTCATCAACTCCTTCATTTTGGCAGCACAAAGATGAGCTTCCTGATGTTCTGTAAACAATGTTTATATGATAGAAGTTCATCTAAAATTCGACATAAGCAGTAATACATGAGTATGGAATGGAAATCAAGGAATGGTCTTAAATGGGAAGGAAAACGCCCCAATATCTCTTAAGCAGCAAGAGCATCTTCCCAATTTAGTTTCAAGATGTGTACCATCTTCCATTTGTCCTCATGTTTCCAGAGCCCTGAAGATAACAAAAGAAAAATATTAACAGCTTACTTTTCTGTTGCCTTCATGCAAATAATAAGAAAAACCTTGCATTTATAAAATCTTATAAATCAAGGTCAGATGACAGTTTAGAGGGACAAGATGCATAAGGTTTAAGGTTAATTACATTCCTTTCTTCTGAGGGTCACATCAGTTCATAATAGAACAAAAGACCGTCATATACAGACATGAAAAAGTGGCAGACCATAGGGATTAGTCTAAACTAAAATTTTACCTTCTTCTTTCCAAAGGAAATGGGAATTTCATCAGTTTTCCAATTCATAATCTAAGCATTTATTAAACAAATATTATAAAATTCTTTTAATAAAAAATACACACTGCAAAATGTAAATCATATAAACAATAAAGAGTAAGTTTTTGCAGCTTTGGAAAACAGTTCAGCAGTGCCTCAAAAAGTTAGCCTATGACCTTGCAATTCTACTCTTAGGTACATACCCAGAGAACTGAAAACACACGTGCACACAAACACTTGTGCCCAAAAGTACATACCAACACCATTCACAATAAACATGAAAACAACTGAGAAGAGAAACAGCTCAAATCTCACATCAACTGAGGAACAGATGAACACAGTGTGGGCTATCTAGACAATGGAATATTATCCAGCCATAAAAAGGAATGACATACTGACCCATGCTACAACACAGATGACCCTAAGATCACGATGTTAAGTGAGAGAAGCCAGGCACAGAGGTCACACGTTGTATGATTCCATTTACAGGAAATGTCCAGAGTTGACAAATCAAGAGACAACAAGTAGATTAGTGGTGCCAGGGACTGGAGAAAACAGAAGATACTGGGGTGGATGAATGAGGAGTGCCTGTCAATGTGTGCAGGGTTTATTTTCAGAGTGACGAAAATGTTCTGGATCTGTCAATGGTGAAAGTTGCACAAACTTGTGACTGTATTAATAAAAGCCACTAAATCCTTCACTTTTTTAAAAAGGTGAATTTCATGGTACATGAATTCTATATCAAAAAAAGTTAAGAATGTTTTCTTTCAGCCTAGGTATCTAGTCTCATTTCTCAAAGGCAAACACTGTCAGCAATTTCTTTATACCTTTTCAGAGGTTTTTAAGGCATATAATTAGCACATAACTATTTGTGATAATCCCTTTCTTTTTTGAAAACACACAAGGCAATATTTTATTCCTCCTCTTCTGCCTTCACCCCTCCAACCTCCCAGCTTAGAGATGATCCAGTATCAGTACCTACAGATATGCCTCATTCTTTATTTTAAGGAAGTGCCATGCCCAGCTCGGAGTCCAGTGTGGGACTTGAACTCATGACCCTGACGTCAAGACCTGAGCTGAGATCAAGTGTGGGACACTTAATGGACTGAGCCACCCAGGTGCCCTATACCTCATTTTTTTTTTAAAGATGCATTCCAGAACATGGATGAACCAATTCACTAGGCATCAGCCCTCTACTGGGAAGCACCTGGATGGTTTTCCAGTCTGCAGCTCTTCCAAACAATGCTGCAACGGACAAATTTTTTAAACAGATCTTTATATACACGAATGGATCCATAAGATAAATTCTAATCAGTGAAGTTAATTTGATAAATTCTAAGAAGTGAAACTGCTAAGTCAAAGATTGTGTGCATTTAGAATTTTTATTTTGTCAAAATAGCCTCCAAAAAGGTTACACAAAGGTAGACTTTTCCCAATGGTAAATGAAATGCTTTTCTAGTGTTACATGCCACCTTTGGAACACTGCCGATCAGACAGAGGAAACATCATCTCTTACAGTTCTTTAACTGTAAGTCAAAGTGAGTATCTCTGTGTTTGTATTTTTCTGTGCACTGTTTTTTGATGTCCTGTTTTTTTATTAATCTTTAAAAATACTTCAAAATAGAGAAAAGCAAACTAATTTCTATTTACAAAAGAATACTTTCTATTTGGATTAAGTTAACTTCTGGTAAACTTGTCTGTATTACATGCTGCTTCAACTGGATCTGTGATCTTCTGGAGTTCAGTATTCAAATCTTCATTTGGATTAATTATGGTAACTTATTAATGTTCACATGTGCAATTAACAGAAATCCACTAACTTAATTGATTTGTGTGTGGGTGACTGGAAAGATGAAAGATGTGTTAGAAAGGTGAAAGAAAGCAAAAGCTATGAATGGGGAAAGTAATTATCTTTGGAAGTACAACCTGTACTCGGCAAGAAGCAAAAAGGATAAAGCTTGCCCATCATATTTGCCCAGTATTCCATAGGCTTGGAATATTTTGGTTGGTCTTCTCACTGTAAAATGCAGTAAATATGGGAATGTAAAGTCTGTATATGCTGGTGGGAGTGGTGGGGAGAAAGTGGCAGGAACATAATATTCTGTGTGGTTTTTTGCATGCTTCTAAGATTTTCCCGACATAATTTGTTCTGAGTAATGCCCACCGGTGTTTCCGTGTAGGGTCTTATCCTGCTGCTTGTTTGGAGCCCGCGGCGGGGGGCACGAGACTGTCCAGCTGTTGGCGATGTCCTGTATTAATCAACCACTCATAAAACTTGTTCTCCACAAGTACCTGGAACTGCTTCCTCTGATCCCTAAAAGTGCCGTCAAGAGAAAAATAACGTAAGAACACCGATTCATGTTCATTTTCCTCCAGGTGACTGTAAAACACTTTAATGGGATAGACATTAAATTATTTTTTTTAAACAGTTTTATTTTATTTTATATGTTTTATTTATTTCTAGGAGAGAGAGAGACAGCGTGAGCAGGGGAGGGTCAGAGAGAGAGAGGGAGTCACAGACTGAAACAGGCTCCAGGCTCCAAGCTGGCTGTCAGCACAGAGTCCGACGCGGGGCTCAAACCCACGAACTGTGAGATCATGACCTAAGCGAAAGTCGGACGCTTAACCGACTAAGCCACCCAGGCACCCCGACATTAAATTATTTCTAGTTATCCAAATAATTGTTCTATTGAGTTCTGTACATTGGAGCAGTACCACCGCCGCACACCCCCCCCCCAAAAAAAAGAATGGTCAAATACAATATAAAATATTCTGCACACTCCTCAGCTCCTATCCAAACGCTGCTCATTCTTCCAGATCCATCACGAATTCTACTTCCTCCATAAGCCTTCCCTGACTACCCGTGCTGATGTTTTTTGAATCTCTATTAACCATACAGTGTGTCGCTGGCTTCTAGAGTTCAAAGACTAGTACCTTGAAATAAAATTTTGTGGTGAACATAATAAACCACAATCATCTACTATCACAAGTCTGTAATTTAAAAATAAGCTATTTTAGCACCCCAAGTTTAGGAAGGTTCTAATTCCAGAATAAAAGACATTTTAAATGGATAAAATTTAGCTTTGTTTTAAAACACTATAATCATTTTTTACATTTTCCCACGGATTAGGGAAAATTCTGACTGAAACTAGCACTGGTCCTTGGAGCAGCATAAGAATCAAGCCCTGGAGAGCTGGTCTGTGGTAGATGCCAGGAAATCTGGATTTCCAGCAAGCCTCTTGGATGATCCTAATGCACAACCAAGGTGGACAACCACTGATACAGTGTAGAAGTAAATTAAAAAACAAACTAAACCAATTCATTTAAGCATTGGATTATGTGGCATATTCTATATATGACCTTTCATTTATAGAGTTGTTTATCTGTCAACTAAACTTAAGCTTCTAAAATGAAGGGAGCCTAACTCTTGGGCTTCTACTTGCTCCCATCTCCCGACCAAAGAGCCTGGAACATAGACCTTAAAAGACATACTGTATCTTTCTTATTACTTTACCACGGCTGTAAACATCTACAGATTAATTTTCCTGTGGAGTTTTATAGAAGACAAATTTTTCTTCTAGAAAACACTTACTTTGTCAAATGAGCCTCCTTCACAGTTTTCTGCCAGATTTGTATCTTCTGTTCTCTTTGACGCAGTGCTTTCTGATACGCAGACGGAAGACCCCCAGGGATCTCTGTCGTATCCCCTTCCATTTCAAAGGGGATAATGAATACATAGAATTCACAAGGCGGTAAGAGTCGGAAGACACTTATGTCCCTGTTCTCTCTGCACACAATCATTGGATTATCCCAATAGTTAGGCACTGTAGCGAGGCCGGTCCTGGCCATGTGATCCTCCAGCATTGGGTAATGGGTATGAAAAGGGGCAAGAGTTACTGTCTGGTTTCCAGAGAGAATAAGTGGGCGCGTAGGCGTTAGAACGTGAAAGACGCAACCTGCTGTAGAAGAGATGGACAAACGGTGGCAGACAGCAATGACTTTAACATTGTCACAGCTGTGGAGGTGAAGAGCAGTCTGGACGGGGCCCAAGACAAACGTGCTATTCCTGCACTTCTCAATGGTCACAGATCTGCAAAGTGAAAAAGATCAAATAAACTCCTCTGCGTGGGAATAAAAATATTTGACTACAAAATTATTCTCTAATAGCAAAAACACGATCAATCCCAGTCCAAAGAAAATGTCAAAATACGAGAACACTGTGGAGACGGTGCTTACCGTAAGGGAGACAGCAGGTATATAAAAGACTCATTGCAGCGATGAATCTTTACATGTGCCCCCACCAGAGTATCTGAGCTCTTGGCCAAGGTCTGCTTGTAAACTTGGCTCATCACCACCATGCGGCGCATCCTAGGAGCCACATGAGTATTACAAGCAATCTTAGCTCTTTTTGTCGTCCCTTCAACTGTTTGAGAAAAACATAAATAAATGAGATAATTTCAAAGCAAAGAAAAACAAACAATCACATGAGGTTACATGTGTCTTAAGGGCCTAAAATGAGATACCTACAAGGTTTGGGAACCTGTTCGATCTGGGCTTTGGGTAATGAGGTGTTTGCAATGCTGTTCTGTGTTTCTCAGTACGTTTATAATATTTCTTAATTTTTTGTTGTAAAATTTTTTAAAACCTATAATCCATTCAAGATTGCCTACAGATCTAAGATTTGTTTCGTGTGCAACCATTCAAGTAATATGCCCAAGGTCATGTGGCCAGAAAGTGACAGAATTGGCCTGACTCCAATAACTCAAATATCTTCTCCAAGTTTCCTCAATTTATCATCCCAATCCTTATATAATCTCTTTACATTGCCATAATACTAATTTCAAATCCCTCTTAAGCTTCCATGAATTCTATTTGGATTCATGTCTTTAATCCCATTAGTGTTTGAGAGCAGATCTCCCTTTCATACACGGTGCCTCATACACACAGACACTCAAAACATCCGTGCAGGGGTTACCCTCCTAACAGTCTCGCCATCACATGACTGGCTTCTCACACTGTGCTTCAGGATACCCCTGTAAGAGCCTAAGTGTCCATCAACTGATGAATGGATCAAGAAGATATGGTCTATCTATACAATGGAATACTACATGGCAATGAGAAAGAATGAAATCTGGCCATTTGTAGCAACATGGATGGAACTTGAGGGTGTTATGCTGAGCAAAATAAGTCAGGCAGAGAAGGACAGATACCACATGTTTTCACTCATATGTGGATCAGGAAACTTAGCAGAGGACCATAGGAGAAAGGAGAGAAAAATAGTGAAGGAGAGGGAGGGAGGCCAACCATAAGAGACTCTTAAATACTGAGAACAAACTGAGGGCTGACGGGGGTGGCGGAGAGGGGAAAAGGGGAGAAGGGCAGGGAGGAGGGCACTTGTGGGGATGAGCACTGGGTGTTATATGGAAACCAACTTGACAATAAACTATATTAAAAAATAAAGTAAAGTAATACTGGCCAAGTAGGAAGAGGTCACAGAAGTATGCTACTCTTCTTTTAAAAACAACAACAAAACAAAAAACAACTTATTGCTTCCTTTTATTAAATAAGTAATACATGGCTATTGTATAAAAATTTTAAATAGTAGTAAAAGAAGATGAAAAATTATTTGTGACCATGTTATCCGCCACTGCTAACATTTCGGTATAACCTTAAGAGATTAGTTATCCTCTTTTTATGAGTGACTCCTGCAACAGCATCTAAAAACTTACTTGAGACTATGTTCTTTTATCAACATCAAAAACTATGTAGTATGTCCTATATATTTATGAGACCCTAATACATCTGGAAGTCTTTGATCTCCTCTTAGAGCAATGGCTGGGTTGGATACAGATTTCTTGGATCACAATCTTTTGCTCAAGATTCTATACACATTGCTCAATCGTTTTGTTTTTTAGCATTATAAAAATTTTATACAAAACTCAGTTTTTTAATTACATGAAGCCTATTTTTTTCTTTCTTTGAAATTCAGAGATCGTAGGAGTGTATCCTTTCATTTTTTTTTTCTTTTTTCATTAATTTCGTCTGCAATTTGCCTTAGTACAGGCACCTACTTCTCTTTAAACTTCCACCTGAGCCCCCTTCCCTTAAGTTTTCTACCTGGGCCAGAAGTCCTACAACACCTGAACCTATCTTGTTAGCCGTCGCTGGACTGTCAGGATTACGTATCTAATGCAACCAAGGCCAGGATTTTCTCTACCGTAACTTGAATTTTCCAATTTAGAAAAGTCTAATCTGTGTGTCTGTGTCCTAGATAGGACCCCATCTCTACACCAACTCTCTGACGCTGTGACTGTGGAAAGGCCACTAGATAGGACCCCATCTCTACACCAACTCTCTGACGCTGTGACTGTGGAAAGGCCAAATGCTGCCATGGTGCACAGAAAACAGGAAAGCCTTAAGCAAACGAGCACATGAGAAGGTAAGGGAGAAAGAGTCCAAATAAAGAAAAGCAGAGAAAGAGAGGTCTGACCAAATCTGGAGTTGCTGTTAACTGTAACCACAATGGCCCAGAATCATACATCAACTGTCCGACTATTGCTGCCTTGACAGGAAACAGTCATAAACAAAAGAGAAATGTTCCCTTTTTCTCTCGTATAGTAGCAATATTTTTCAGGTCTCCTACAGAAGATGTAGGACTATTAATACACCAGAAAACATGAGCTTCCTTTACTTGTCATCCAATTTCATATAGATGAAAATACTGAAAAATACCTTGGTGAGCCCAAGCCAATTTCTTTCCAGACTTGAGGCAAGCAGAGGTACCAAATGGATTCGCAGTCAGACAGGTTCTCAGCCAGGCTTCCAGCTTGTAGAAAGAAAAGGTCTTAGAGATCCTTGAGAAGCCGCTTTCTGCATGTAGTGGTGGCCACAATGCAAGTTCATGAAGTGGATAGATCTTCCTGGCTCTACTCACTGTACCTTCAATGAGAAAGCTGAGGGCCACAACAGCTTCTCGGGACACTAGGCTACTCTGGGTTGAATGAAATGATGCAGTGAGTTGTTCTGGATCTAAAAGCAGCTCAAGGAGATCAGACAGATGATCATAGACGAATGCTTGGTGACTGTAATCATTCCAGTTCTAAAAAATATCAAAATAAAGCACACTTAACAGAAAAAAGATTCTACAAGACCTGAAAGATTTGTATTTTAATTGTTTTGTATTTATATTTTGCCTCCTCTCCTAAAAAGCATTTAAGGTTGCAATATACACCTTATAAAAATTTTTTAATGTACGTGGCAGGTATAAACAGATTCAAAAGTAATACTAACAGCTAATCCTTAGTGTGGGACAACTAGTGTTATACAAACTTTAACATATTTAATCCTAGCAACAATCGTGCAAAAGATGACATTACCATGCTCATTTTACAAATGAGGAAATGGAGATACAGAAAGGTTAAGAAACTTACCCAGGGTCACAGAGTTAGTAAATACTCAAGATTTCAGATCTAACATTCGATGAAGCACTGGGTTTCCTTTTTTAATTTATTTTCATTTTCATTGTGTTTATTTGAGAGAAACAGAGAGTGAGCGGGGGTAGCGGCAGAGGGAAAGAGGGAAAATCTTGAGCAGAATCTTAACCTTAAGAATCTTAATCTGACGCGGGGCGCCTGGGTGGCTCAGTCAGTTAAGCGTCCGACTTCAGCTCAGGTCGTGATCTCGCAGTTCGTGGGTTTGAGCCCCGCGCCGGGCTCTGTGCTGACAGCTAGCTCAGAGCCTGGAGGCTGTTTCAGATTCTGTGTCTCCCTCTCTCTCTGACCCTCTCCTGCTCATGCCATCTCTCTCTCAGAAATAAATAAAACATTAAAAAAGAAAAAAGAATCTTAATCTGATGTGGCGCTCAATCCCACGACCTGAGATCCTGACCTGAGCTGCAACCAAGAGTTCAATGCTCAACCGACTAAGCCCCTCCGCCCCCCGTCCCAGGTGTCCCACATTGGGTTTCTCTACTTACCTTCTCATTTTTCAGGAGGAATTCCAAATTCCACTGCGTGAAACAATGCAACTGATCTTTCAGTAGCTAGATTTAAGACAAGTTATAACTTTTGGAACAAGCTTGGAGTTGGCAGATGTCTCAATGACTTGGCTCATTCATTTGAGAGATATTTCTTGAATATCTCTTATGTGGTATGAGCAGTGTTAACTGATGAATTATGCAAATTGGGTAAGACACTGTCTTGTCCTCCAGGAACTCAGAGTCTTTGTAGTGAAAAAACAATATAAACAAGCAGCTATTACACAATGAGATAAGACCTAGGGCAGAGATCTGGGAAGACATGCTAAGAGCATGAGAGGAACAAGGAAGTCCTCTTGGGGAAAGAGAATCACCGTGGAGTGCTGTTTGAACAGATTCTTGACTAATGTTGGTAGTTATGCAAACATATTTTTTAAAAAGGCTTACGCCTAGGGAACAGCATATGCAAAGACCCATAGGAATAAAATCACCTGCTGTGTTCAGAAAACTGGGAAGTTCTGGGTAGGGTTTAGGAAGCATGCTGGGAAGTATCAGGTAAAGTTAAAATGGTAGCAGGGACCAGTCAGGAAAGGCCTGTATGAACCCCTAAAACATCTGGGCTTTATTTTGTGTGCCAGGGATTTTAGGGCTATTTTCTAAATAGCTATACCTTTTTTCCTTTTTAATAAATTCTCATTTGTATACCAAAAAACATGTCAGGGGCACCTGGACGGCTCAATTGGCTAGGCATCCAACTCTTGGTTTTGGCTCAGGTTATAATCTCATGATTTGTGAGTTTGGACCCTAAGTCAAGCTCTGTGCTGCCAACATAGAGCTTGCTTGGGAGTCTCTCTCTCCCACTCTCTCTGCCCACCCCCCCCCCCCCCCCAATTTGTGCGCACATGTGTGCTTCCTCTCAAATAAATAAAGTTAAAAAAAAACAAAAACATGTCAAAGCAGAGCTGTCACTCTTCATCTCTCTTATTGCATCCTCCTCACCCATTGTAGGCCCTGAGGTGGCTCCATGGAGCACAAGATGAAAACAGCAGTCAATTCATTGACAGGAGTTTTGGCAGGAGACAGATATAATCCTTCTGCATTTAGAAAGTCCAGTGTAGTAGGTGGAGTGTGGATTAAAAGTAGAGTAACCAGGTAGGACCTAATTATAGAAATCAAGCCCCTCCCCCACCCTGTCATTATGGCCTATATAAGAGGAAGAGAAGAGAAAGTTTTATTTTTTTGAATATATATTTTTTAAGATTTTATTTCTTAAGTAATTTCTTCCCCCAATGTAGGGCTCGAACTCACAACCCTAACACCAAGAGTTGCATGCTCCACTGACTGAACTAGCCAGGTCTTCTGAAAAGGGACAGACTCTTAAAGTAGAATTATTTTAGGGGCGCCTGGGTGGCTTAGTCAGTTAAGCGTCCGACTTTCGCTTAGGTCATGATCTCGCAGTTCGTGGGTTCGAGCACCGCGTCAGGCTCTGTGCTGACTGCTAGCTCAGAGCCTGGAGCCTATTTCGGAGTCTGTGTCTCCCTCTCTCTCTGACTCTCCCCTGCTCACGTGTCTCTCTCTCTCTCTCTCTCCTAGAAATAAATAAAAATATTTAAAAAAAATAAATAAATAAAGTAGAATTATTTTGGAGACAGAATCGGGAAGACTTGACAAATAACTAGGTATGGGTGCTGAGAGAGCGAGCATCAGTAGCTGGTGGTAACTTGCACTGGCACAGTGAATATAAGTTAATTCAAGTAAGGGGAGATTTTACTGTAGGGACACATGGTCATCTCCCAAACCAAAGTATAGGTAGGCCTCATCAGAGCTGGAACTGGAAGGCCACCTTGAACCTGGTTCTCTCTCAAGGCCAGTGTCTCTACATGTCTGTTCCATTCTATTCTTTTTCTCTTATTACCTCAGTTTCTAATCCCTCATAACTCCAGGTCACTCATGAACATGGCAGCTATTCTGGACCAATGCCACCTGAGCTACCAGCTCAAGCACCCCTCACAAACTGGTAATTTCTTCAGTTCCTGGGGCTACTGATGGGACTAGGTCATCATTTCAAATCAGACTAATTACTAATACATTCCCATGAATGGGTTACTCTAGTCAAATGTCCATCTCTGGTCTAATCAGTTGTTGGGAAAAGTTAGGCTTTCGCACAAACTAAGTCACCATTTAGTGGTGCTTACTGTACAATAAGTCTCATGTTAGTATATTACTGAATTCTGACAGTCATCCAGAAATATGCATTATCATCCCCACTTACAGAAGAGAAGCCAAGGCCTAGAAAAGTTAGCCAACTTGCTTAAAATCATGTGATATTAAGTGGCAGAGCCAATTTGAATACAGACTACATATGGTTCAAAACACCATCTCTACATAGTACCCACTCAGCAGGAAATACATGTGGAAAGAGCAGACAATGATTGGCCTTTCTAATACATCTGACTCGGACATTCTGGATTTAAGGTATAGAGAGGGCATCTACATGAACAGGGGAATCTAGGATGCAGACAAACTCAGGAGCCATTGAGATATAGGAAGTCACTGGAAGAGAAGAATTATGTTTAAAGAATATATCTAGTGAGAAGACAAAATGGCCACAGGCGGAATCCGGAGGGAACAGCAGCCTGTCAGGGCCGTGGGGAAGCTCATGAAGAAGAGTGAGAAAGAAGAACAAAGAGCTATTTCCAGGAGGAAATAGCATCATGGAATGTAAGGGCGGCCAGATTTACCTGAAAAAGATTATAAAAGTACCAAAAGTACAAAATATCAGAGAGACTTTTGTTGTTGTTTGCCTCAGAACAATTTTTTTTTTTGTTCTCAGAACATTTTTAAAGAACCTGCACATGGCAGCAATACCGAGGTCTGTGTTTTCCTTAAAGTTCTTCAGAATACTTTTACATAAACGGGTAAAACCATTTTGGTTTTCCTCACAAAGACAGAAAGAGGAAATAATTTCTAAAACTCACAATGTGGGGCAGTTAAATTTAACTTCTAGGTTGTCACATCATATAATATTACATAAGCATGCTAAGCTTAAGTAGACTGAAGCACATCATTTAAACATGTGAAAAGATATTTTTACAGAAATGTTCTCAGTAGATCTCAACAGACTTTGCAAACACTGCATCTTTTCATTTATCCTAACTTAGTCAAGTAAGTAGGTTCAAATTCATTGACATTTGCAAAACCAAGAATTCTAATGAGAGTACAGTGAATAGCTTGCCCCCAAACCGTGCAATTTTTGTGTCACTGAAGGAATGGAAATTATCTCTCTATTTCGACTAAGACTGCAAATATTTATTTCGTTTTATAATAAGGAAAAGAAACGAAAAAAGCAACATAAAACAAAACACGCCAGCAAGCGACTGGCTTGTATAAGTAAACCTGCCACAATTTTTAATGAAGACAAATTGTCTCCTTCACAAACAGCTTTTCAGAGGAGACCAACGTTTAAACAGTACCTTATTATGGCAACTGGATTTTTCAGCCAAGTCAGGAGACTGAGATCTATTTCTGGGACTAGGCCACTCTTCTCCAATCAAAGATGTCCTCAGGGAAACCTTGTTTAACTGCTGCATATATAAGAAGAGCAGAAACTGTAGGGTGTCCACTGAAAGCTGTCCAAGAAGAGAAGAGATGATGAACACATGTCTTTTTTTTTTTTTAATGTTTTATTTATTTCTAGGAGAGAGAGACAGAGACAGCATGAGTAGGGGAGGGTCAGAAAGAGAGGGAGTCACAGACTGAAACAGGCTCCAGGCTCTGAGCTGGCAGTCAGCACAGAGCCCGACACGGGGCTCGAACCCACGAACCGCGAGATCATGACCTAAGCGAAAGTCAGACGCTTAACCGACTAAGCCACCCAGGCGCCCCATGAACACATGTCTTTAAACTATATTAGTCCAGGGGCACCTGAGTGGCTCATTTGGTTAAGTGTCTGACTCTTTTTTTAATGTTTATTCTTTTTTTTTTGCTTTGTGAGATTTTTGGCCATTTATTCATTCTTTTAATGATTACAAGATAGTTTTTCCATTTTTTTCCCCCAACTGTTTAATTCTTTATTTCTATGAGACAACAGAGTGATTCTCAGTTCAGTGCTGCCATGAGCTAGGACCACCATGCACTTCTTGAACCTCATCTTTCTCTTCCCTCTAAAAGACAGAGCAACACTAGTTGATATTTTAAAACATTTACTTGCTCTAAAGTTTTAAATTCTTTGAGAACCAAAGCATTAACATCACAGAAAACATTGTTTCTTACATCTATTTTTTTCTTTTTTATATATATATATAGTTTATTGTCAAATTGGTTTCCATATAACACCCAGTGCTCATCCCCACAGGTGTCCCCCTCCGTGCCCATCTCCTCCTCCCCCCCCCCACATCCATCAGTCCTCAGTTTTTGTCAGCATTCAAGAGTCTCTCATGGTTTGCCTCTCTCCCTTTCCCCCACCATTTCCGCCTTTCTTCTCCCCCTTGGTCCTCTGTCAAGTTCCTCCTAATCCTCCTATACGTGCAATTGTTTATTCATTTTTGAGAGAGGGGGAGAGAGCGCCCATGCGCACATGAGCGGGGGGAGGGGCAGAGAGAAAAAGAAGGAGACAGAATCCAAAGCAGGCTCCAGGCCTGTCAGCACAAAGCCTGATACAGGGCTCGAACCCATGAACTATGAGATCGTGACCTGAGTTGAAGTCAGACGCTTAACCGACTGGGCTACCCCAGTGCCCCTAAGTGTCTGACTCTTGATTTCAGCCCACATTGGGCTCTGCACTGACAGATTTTCTCTCTCTCTCTCCCCTACACCCCCTCTCAAAATAAATAAATAAACTTAAAAAAAGAAAATCACATCAGCCCCTACTCTACAACTAAGTAGACATAGTAAAATAAATTCACAACAGTTTGCTGATGCTAATAACAAAAATGTAGAAACTTGCTAGCATTTGATATGTAGGTCTCTGAAACCAAGAAGTTCCTAAAACCAATTTAACTGAAGTCACTTACCTTCTCAGAAAGCTATGTAGCATCTATGGCTATAGACGTTCCCTCCCAAAATTGAAGAGGAAAGGATAAAGTATATACTTTTAAAAAGTATATTATTTCAAACGTTTAAAATTACAGTTAAAAAAGGAGAAACTTAATCATTTGAATAAATAAATGAATGGAAAAAAGGAAGAAGGAAATTTCACCAAATACAGAGGTTAGTCTAATCTAAGACTCACAGACTTATCAAAAAAGGGTATCAATGCAACATTTGAAATTGTATGTAATTTTTTGGTGTATGTGCATTTTATAGGGGAGTAAGACTCGGGTTTTCAACAAGTTCTTAAAAGAGTGTTTGATATAAACATCCATCAGACCAGTGATATTTTTTTGTAAGTCATTTCTTATTTGAAAAAGGGTCTGGCTTGAAGCTCAGGATTTGAAGTTCATGATTATCCTCAAATACCCATTCCCATACACATACAGGAGGCACAAAATAGTTATACGTCTGCCACCATAGCTATATTCGACCTGATTCCCAACCTGGCTGAAAATCACTATATCTAAGAACTTAAAAATACAGCTTCTCAGGATCACCTAGACCTATTCAGTCAACTGTCAATGGAGCCCCATGAATCCTATATATTAAATGTTTACTTTTGTAATCAAATTTTTTGAGATAGCTGCAGATTAAGATTACATGCGGCTGTAAGAAGTAATAGAGAGATCCCATGTACACTGTATTCAGTTCCCATCTTGTAAAGCGGTAATACAGTAGCACAACCAGGGTACTGACATTGATGCAGCCAAGTTATAGAACACCTCCATCAACACAAAGATCTTGAATGTTGTCCTTTTATAGCCACACCCACTTCCTGCTTCCGCCTCCCATACTCACCCCTTCCTCAATCCCTTGACAATCACTTACCTGTTCTCTATCTCTATAATTTTGTCATTTCAAGAATGTTATGTAAATAGAATCATATAGTATGTAACCTTTTGGGACTGGCATTTTTATACTCAGCAAAATGCCCTGAGTTTATACATGCTTCCACTTAATAATTATATGTTATGTTATCACTATTCCTTCATACACCTTTTTCTTCATGAGACTATAAGATCCTTGCCTTTTTCGTTTTTCTATTCCCAGTAACTAGCATAGAATATACCACATAAACACTCAAAAAATTTGGAGCTTCTTGAAGGTTTTATTGATCTCTGTATCCAGCATCTACCACTGTACCTCACATACAGTAGACACTCGATAAATGTTTAATTAATGAATAACTATATTGTTCTTTCGTTCTTGGTTGCTTGCAAAACTTTCAACTTCCAAAACCTTGTTTAGATATTACCACATGTGGTAGACAGTAGCTAATTCTAACTAAATACCTTTTCTTTTCTTCCCGGGGACACAATTAGATGGCATTTCCCAGCCTCCCTTGAAGTTAGACATGGTGTAACTGAGTCCCAGTCAATGGAATGTGGGTGGACTGACATATAGTATTGTTTCCCAAAAACTCTTCCAAAAGAAATGGAAGTAAAGGACTCTGAGACCCTAGTGAGCATGGCTGGGGCATATTGTATTATACCTGCAGTTATTCACTTCCACATCCTCTAGGAGGCTTATAAGATCTGATCCGTGGCTATGGGATTTCTTTACCTCCTGGGAAGTAGTTTATCTTCCCATCATCCTGACTTTAGACATGGACATATGACACAGCTTTGGCCAATTGAATGAAAGTCGTTGCAGTTTATGTCACATTGGAGGAAAAGTTTGAAGAGGCATCGAGAGCTTTCTCCTGCTCTGCTGCTCTTCCCTCTGTCATAAGAATAGGCATGACCAACACAGAATATGTTTCTTTAGCCTGGGTCCCGAAACGAGTAGACCCACAGAGCCAAGCCATCACCTGGAAGAGAGCCCTAGCCGAAGTGCAAGCTGCACATAATAGCCAAGAAACCAATCTTTGTTACTCTAAGCCACTGGACTCTCATTTTTGTTTGTTTTTAACTGCAGCAAAGCTAATATAATTGTGGTTCCAAAATGACTAGATCACTGAGTTATTGCTTGGACAACAGCAGCCTAGAGATTCATCCAACCAGGTGCCATATGTTATACTGCTGCTTGGAGGAGAAAGAAACTGTTCACTGTGCTAAGCTGCTGAAGTGCCAGGATTGCTTACTACTGTAACAAGCCTACTCTGATTAATATGCTTTCTCTGTGAAGTCTTTCCTGATCACCAGAACTAATCAGTCTCTTCCCTATTCTGTTTCTGCACTTTATGTATACTTTTACTATTGTACATTCCACACTATCAAATAGCACTGTTTCACACACCAACTTCTCCTACTAGTCTTTGAGCTCCATGGAGGCAGAGATGCTGTTCCAATCATCTTTGAATCCCAGCACATAGAAGATGCTTACTTAAAAATAGCTGGGTGCCCTGACTGTAATGTATCAATGGTTCACAAGCACTGACTCACCTTAAAATATTTTTAAGTCTCTTTGAGAGAGACAGAGCATGTGCATGCTCAAGTCCGGGAGGGGCAGGGAGGGAGATTGAGAGAGAATCCCAAGCAGGCTCCGCACTGTCAGCTGTCAGCGTAAGCCTGATGCAGGGCTCAATCTCACAAATCGTGAGATCATGATCTGAGTAGAAATCAAGAGGCGGATGCTTAACTGACTGAGCTACCCAGGCACCCCTCACCTTAAAATATTTTTAAAGTCAATGTAAGTATTTCCTTCTTTCATTTGCAGTGTTCTTGTAACGTTATTGCTTTGGAAGTAGGTGAATCCGGATTGCCAAGTAAGAGCTAATTCATTAAATACTGCCCAACCACAACTGTTTAAAAAAAAAAAAAAAAAAAAAAAAAAACAAAAAAAAAAAAAAAAAAAAAAAAAAAAAAAAAAAAAAAAAGGCACTTTGGGATCACAATGGTCATTAACCAAAAACCACACACTGTACAGCTAGTACAAAAATTTTGTTTCTCAAAACAACTAAACACACATATACATACATATAAATCTATACCTGATTCCTCTGCTTTTCGACTTCATCCTCAGACATGCAGTTGGACAGAATCTCGGACCATTCCAGGCGCTCTTCCGGTGTCTTCACTGCAAGACTATCAAATATTTCAAAGTAAAGCCATGCCAGATCCTTGGCCAGCTGCAGCTTCCCACATGCAATGTGCCTCCATGTAGACCAGGACAGGCGTGGGTAAGCCCCCTCTGTGGCCCGGGTTCGCACGTAAGTGGATATCTTCCTGAGATAGTGAAGGCTGAACTTGGATGGAGGGGGGACCTGCAAGGCACCCACGATAAAGGGCTCTGCTTTCACCCAGAGGAGAACTCCGGACTGATCCATATCTCTAAGGACATCTGTGTGAAAGGGCTTCTTGGCATACCTAGGAAATAAAGTATTTTTCACAAACTGATTTGAACAAAACTCATTTGTGCATTTTCTTTTGATTTTTTTGTTGCATTGACATATTTTCTTTAAGGTGACACCTCCCTTGACTATTTGAAGGTGTACTGGGTCAGTTTAAAAAGCAGATCTAGTTCATCACCCAAGAGCAGAATAGATTCTTGGTCAGATCCCACTACAACCTATTTGAACAAGAAAAATTTTGTGATAAAACAAAATTATCTTACTTGAATTGTTTGAAGTGGTTGTTTTAGGAAGGGTGTGTAAATGCATGAAGTGTGAGTTGGAATCCTGCTCAGGAAAGGGCGAAAAGAAATGAGAGAGTCATCTCTTCACAGGATATCTTTGCCTGCCCTGGGCGGGGTGGGAGGGAAGTAGTGAAAATAAGGGAGATAAAATTTTCCAGTCAAATCCCTTACACATAGAGGATGGTGGGTTAAAATTCTGGATGTGTTAACTGACATGTAGTTCAAAATGAAGCACTAACATGAGGAGGCAGATGAATACTCACGCGAGCATAGGCTACAAAAATATTTCATCTTTATTCTCTGAAACAGTAAACCTGTTCTGGCATATTCTTTGTGCTTAGTTCAGGTGCAGCGCTTTTAGATTTTGCTTGTCGTTTCATTGTTTTGACAATAACACACAATTTTTATGGAATATTTCTATTCAAAAACAGAAGGGGAGGAAATCATCCACTGTCTCACCATGAAAGGGAAACTAGTTAACATTCTCTTTTACTTCCTATATTTCTACATAGATTGGATGTTAGGTTTTGAATTTTCAAACCTGTGGTAATACCATATATACAATTCTGTTATCTTAAAAGGTTCATTGCACTCTACTTAAATGCACCCCCACTTACACACCTGTTCTCCTATTTCCAGATATTAATTAGGTTTAACAGTTTTCACAAAAACAAGGCAGGCAAAATACTGATCATAGTTGAAGTGGGGTGATGAGCACAGGGCAGTTTATTTACCTATTCTACTTTTGTGTGTGTTAAAATTTTCCACTATATAAAAGTTTAAATGTAGGTGAAGTGTGAAAGGGATTAAGAGGTACAAAATTCCAGTTATAAAATAAGTTAAGTCACAGGGATGCAAAGTACAGCATAGGGAATATAGTCAATAAGGCTGTACTAACTTTGTATGGTGACAGATGACGACCACACTTATTGTGGTATTTTTGTAACGTACATAGTTGTCAAATCACTATGTTGTACAGTTGAAACTAATGTAATGTGTATCAACTATACTTCAATTAAAATAAGAAGGTTAAATGTTATAATTATAAATAATGCTATAATTACCATCTTTCTGTGTATTTTCTGCGCTATGATGATTTCCGAGACAATTTTCTGATGTGCATTTGTGAAATGAAGGAAATGACATTTCTAAAACCCCTGATATAGATTTCCATTGCTTTCCAGTATGACTGTATCAAACTGTATCCTCACTTGACCAAGGGCATCATTATCGCTTGACCATTGAGCACTCCTCAGCATTAGGGAACAACACTTTCAAAAACCTTCCTCCTATGACTGATGGAAAATGTTTCATTGCCATTATTACATTTTGAATTTCATTCCAAAAAAAGCATGCGTATTTGGGGAATTATCTGCTCGTAATTGAAATCAGCCGCATTCTTAATAGGTGCCGAGGTGGCACGCTAAATATTTCCCGTCCTTCTCCTCCTTTCGTGCTCTCAACCATCTGGAGCTAATATGATTGTCCCCATTCTCAGATGAGAACACTGAGGCTTAGAGAAGTGAAGGGACTTACTCAAAATCACACACTTAAGTTAGCACTGTTCTGGATTAGAATTCAAGTCTGACTGGAGAACCGTGGTGTTTACAAATGTACTTTAGGACCCAGTTTTGGGGGAGCCTCCGAACATGGGACGGATGCAGGCGAGGATTACCAGAATGAGTGGCCTTAGATGTGAGGCCGCATAGGGAGGGCCAGGTTAAAGGAATGTGGGAGCACGAACCCAAAAGAAGGGTGTGAGCGACTAAACGACAGCCGACTTCATATGAGGGGATGGCTTAGCGTCGTTCTGAGTAAAAGAGATCAGAGTTCCGTGAGAAAGATCTTAGCTCGCCCCCAAACGGAAAGAGACTGCTCTGGAGGATCCTGAACTCCCGTTCCTGAAGTGTGCGATCAAACGCCAGATCCTCGGGGACGAACTCTCCGTTTCACTGCGAGACCCCAGAGGGCTCAATTCGTAAACAAACAAGCAAGGGCTCTTCCCTCTCCAGAGCAGCACGGGGGAGCCTTGGGGTTGGGCTTTGCAGGCGGGGGCAGCGGCCTGAGACCACGGAAGTCCTCGGGGGGGCTTCGCCGACACCTCCGACGCTGTCCGGGTCCGGGCCGCACCGGCTCCCCGGCCGGACTCTCGGAACCGGGACGGCCCAGCCGACAGGCTCCGTGGCGGCCCCGAAACCCGGCCGTCTCCGGGAGCGGCCTCCCCAGCCCCCCCGCCCCGGCGCCGGCCCGCGCGCAGTTACCTGCGAAGGTACGGCCGCTCCGCCACACCCTCCGCGCGCCGCCGCGCGCCGCTCTCCCGGCCCAGCCCCTCGCCCACCGCCGCATCCACTGCGCAGGCGCCTGGCCTCGCACCACCGAGAACCGGAGGCCCACGGAGCTAGAGCGGCCGCCAGCTTCTCCCGCGGACAGAAAAACTCCGCTGAGGCCGAGAGACCTCAGTGCTGGGACCAGGAGCCAGACCTGGCCGCTTTCTGGTGTCGCGCCTCCCAACTCAGGGAGGTAGGAAGTTTCGAATTGCCCCACACAACCAAGGTCAGCCGGTAGCTGCTGGTAAGGTCAGCACGCTTTGACCAGTAATATAACAATGACAGTTTATAGTGTTTACTATGGGCCGCCATTGTGTAAAGCTTGTTCATGTGTATTATCTCAGTCTTCCCAAGAGTCCTTCAAGTTAAGTACATCTGTTTTACTGAGAAGTAAACTAGAGGTAAAAGAGAGGTCTAAGTAATAGATTTCTAAGGTCACACAGCAAGAGAGCTACCAGAATAGAAACCCAGACCGCCTGAAGCCAGTCCCCAAGATTAGCTCCTTCACTTAGCTGTCCTGCCCCGTTAGGGCCTTCATGAAGCTTTTTTGGATTCCACCCTACAGAAGACATCATTCCTTCCGCGAACCCTCCACTCAATGATTTTTAGCCATTTCCTGGTTGCTTAGTTCGTTTATGACCTCTATAGGTGTGGGAGATACAAAAGTAAATAAGGGGATAAAATGTAATTTAGTTCTCTCTGATGTGGCCTCTCTCTTCTAGTAGACGTTTTCCTGAAAGCAGTCACCCTATCTTCCTCTTAGCTCTATAAGTCAGGAGGAGGTAAGAGCTTTGGATTCAAACAGATCTGGGTGAGAATTCAAGCTGCACCACTACCTTGAACGGATTGTCACCTCTTCTGCCTTTGTTTGTTACAACAGCCATTATTATTGAGCGCAACTGTGTGTCTGGCACAGTGCTAGGCACTAGGATTACAGCAGTGAACAAAATAGATAAGATACATGCTTTTTGTGGAGTGTATATTTTAATAGGGAGAAGAGATAATACGTATTAAGGAAAAATTTGGACAATTTCAGATATTAATAAATGCTATGAATTTGGAGGAGGAAGTAGGTCAATGCTGAATTTGAGCTGAGGCCTGAAGAATAAGCCAGCACACGAAAATCGCAGCTGAAGCAACTTTTACTCTAGGGCAGGCCCCGTTCTAAGATGCTGTTCTATTCAGGTGTGAACAGAACAGTCCAGATTCATGCTCCCTTGAAACTGGCATCCAGTTGTGAGAGTGTGGGGGGTAGGGATGGAAAAAAATAGAATGGTGTAAGAATAAGGGATTCAGTAGAGGCTGTGTTTGATTGGTTGGTCAAAGAAGTCTTCTCTGAAAAGTAGTGACATTTCAACAGATTTGAGTGTAAAAAAGAGTCACCCATGTTAAGAACTAAGGGAAGAGTGCTTCAGGCAGAGAGAAAAGCTAGAACAAAGGCCTTAGGGAGGAATAAGTTTGGTGTATTTAAAAAAGAAAAAGAAAACCAGTTTTGCCGGAACATGGTAAGGAGTAGACTAGGTGCGGGTACAGAATTACATTAAGCTTTAAAATTATTTTTCCAGCTTTCTTAAGACATACACAGGTTTACAAGCTAGCATAGAGTTGGGGTTTTATTTTAAATGCAATGAAAAGCCATTCGAGGCTTTTGAGCAGGGTAATGACAGGATCTGATATGCTTGTAAAAAAAAATCATGGGGTTGGGGGTCAGGAGTGAAGAAGAGCTACTAAAATAGTAAGAGTGGAGGCAGGAAAACCACTTAGGAGGCCTTTCCAAGTGAGAGATTATGTGACTTGGCCCTAAGAAGTAGTGGAGATGTCCAGTAGCGGACAGACTCGGGATATACTTTTAAGGCAAATATTTGAAAAGGGGATCCAGGGGGAGGAGTCAAGGTAGACACCTAGAATTTTGTCGTGAACAAGTAGGTGGTGGTGCAATTAATCAGATGAACAAAAGCAGGTGGGGCGAATCAAAGAGTTCTCCTAAGTGTGATAATAGTTATTCACTGCGTGCTTACTGTGCAAAACGCTGTGCTAGACGGTTTACAGCTTTTTTCCCTTTAAAGTTTCACAGCATTGCCAGTAAAATGTCTTGCCTCAGGTCTGTAAATAAAGCTTGGGCTAGACTGGGGAGCGAGGGATGGGGGGAGGGGGTGGGGATGTTCTCACCGCTAAGAAGTGGTGGAAGCCGAATCCGAACCTAAGTCTTTCTGCCTCCATATCCTCTTCTCCTTGAAACCCAGGCAATTTTCTTCCGGGATTGTTCGAAGAGGGTAAATAAGTTCTCCGGAGCAATTCGTCCGCCCTACGGTTGGCGTAGAGTAAGTGTCCCCGCCCATTTCTCCAGTGTCCCTCAGCTCCCGCATCCAGCTCCAAGCTCAACATGAATGAAATTCCGGGACTCGTAACCGAGGTAAACCCTCCCTCCCACAATTGGTCGGGGCTGCAGGAGGAGCCTCGTGATTGGTGGAGAGTCCGAGGAGGCGGGCGGGGGGGGATTCCTATACCCCGGGTGCCCTCTCTTGGCACACTGTCGCCCTCACCGCCTTTTCACGTCAATTTCTACGACTCGCCGCTACCGGGCCCGAGCGGATTCCTGCGGCGGCGCGATTCTCTGACGTTTCCTCCTCTGATTGGCCCGGAGCCGCGGCTGCAGTTCGGAAGCCTAACTGGCCGCCCGCGCCTCCTCGGAGGTGAAGTGTACTGCCCTGATTGGCTGCGAGGCGCCGGCCGCGTGTGATGTCCCGAGCAGCGATTGGCTCTCGCCTGCTGGGGCTTCTCTCCCGGGGACTCGGGACTCCCGGAAAGTGGACTGGCAGGGGAGGGGGCGAGCTCGCTGTAGCTCCTGACCGAGGAGGGGACCCGGGTGTGAAGCGGCCTCTCAGCGCCCAGTGGGCTGGTGAGCCGACGCGGCGGCGGCGGAGTCTGTAAGGAGCGCGTGGGCTAGGGACCGGCACAGAGGCCGGCACAGAGAAACCATGGCCCCGCAGAACCTGGGCACCTTCTGCCTGTTGCTGCTCTACCTCCTCGGGGCCGTGATCGCCGGGTGAGGAACAGGCACCCGCGGGCACGGGGCCCGTGAGGCAGTCAGTCTTGGCTGGGATGGAGGGAGCATTGCCAGACTGAGGGAGTGGAGAGGGGCGTTGCTGAGGTGAGGCGGTGCGGGCAGAATGGGTGGTGTGGGCCAGGCCAGCGGGGTGGAGAGGAGAGCAGTGGGTGGCTCGACTGAGAGGAGCTTGGGTCCAGAAGGCTTTACAGCTAGATTTGGCCCAGAGGAGTGGGATTTGGATGCAGGGCCAGACACACCGTGGGGGTGGGGGGTGGGGTTCTACTGAGCTGGAGAAGAGGACCATACAGTGTTGAGGCTGCATCGAGCCATTCGGGGGGCTGACATTAAAGTGGGTGGGTTATTTTGCGAGGCTGAGTGAGGGAGTGAGAACTGTAGGGAAGCCCTGCTGGGACTGGAGGAAATTGGATTGAGGCAGCAAGGCAGACGCTTTGGCGAGTTCTGGAACTTCCTAGCTTCTTGGGATAATTGAACCTAAGCTGTCATCAGGCCTCACTGTCTCTCTCCATGGTACATTCTTGAGAAGCTGAATAATCTCAGGAGCGGGAAGAGCATTTCACCAACAATTAGTGAACTGGGATTCAAGACCACCCACCCCGCTTATGAATTATGTGACTCTGAAGGAACCACCTAAATTCTCATCTTTAACATGAGGGTCATAAGGTTCCTCCTGGAGGAAGGGAGTAGGACCACCTGAACTCTTAAGGCTCCTTCCATCCGTTTAGATCCATGATCTTACAAGTCTGGTGACCCCCGGGTATGATCTGCCAACTCCTGTTTTATGTGGGGACATAATGAAGTCTTAGCTTACAACCATTCAAAAGTTTCTCTAAATGGAGGAAGTGCTACTTAACAAAGCTTTAAAATTTAAAGTGCTTGTTGTTTCGTAGAAGGTTTTCCCCCTGTGCACATCTGCTTAAACTTTGTTGTCTTCTTTTTCTTATGAAATATTTAAAATTTCTAAAAAAAAATTTAACTTCTTCTAGGCAATGCTTTGTTTTTCTTAGTATGTTTTTGTTAGTACTTAAAGCAACACATACCCTAAAATATAAACAACATGTCAGTATGACTATTGTTAATTCTGTAGCTTTAAACATGAGCCTTTTTAAAGAAGTCTTTTAGGAACTGTACTCTTGATGCTGAACTATGCCAGTCATCTTTTCCCTGAATTTTCTGAGCGTTACTTAGCCATTTTTATATTATTATTGTATTGATATTATTATATGACATTATTATTTTTATATTTTCTAAGTGAGCCTCATTCTTTAAACAGCTCTTTTGTTATTTTAATGAACCTTTTGATTTAGTCTTTGTCTCAAGAGATGTCAGATGTTTGCAGATTTGAGGGAGGAGGCTAAAGCATCTAAGTTTCATGGAATCCCTTGGGAGTGATAATTTTACAAACTTCTACATGAAATGATTAAGTGACTTTCCTAAAGTGGGACTAAGAGCTTATGAAATAATTTTTCCATGTGCTGTCTTATATCACCTGGCACCCCATTGCATTTTATCCCCACTAGGTTTGAAAATCACTGCTACATTAGCATGTCTATTGTGAATAATTTTCTCATCCCCTTTGTTGAGAAATGCATTTTCAGAGTAACTTTTGATGGCTCAAGTGACTCTGCCCAAAAGAGTAGGTGTTTGTGAGCATGTTTATTCATTTCATTCAACAAATAACATATATTAGTGTCTTCTATGGGCTACAGTCCCTGCCCGGAAAGTTTATTATACTCTGTTCTATCCATTGGCCCTTCTTGCGAAGATTCCATTTATAATTAATTTGGTTCCAGCATAGTCCCCTGCAAGGAGATCAGTGAATCTGTACCTTATCTCCCAGCTCCTGCCATGTGTATATTTGTGGCTGCTGAGACTTATAGGCTCCTGTATGTGGGCTTTAGCGGTTGTCTATAATTAAAACTTCACCAAGACAAACTAGTATAACTACTAACAACGACTACAAGACTGATACTTTCACTTTTAGCAAAAAAACGCCACAACTCATACATCCAAATGGATGTTATTCTTTCTTTAGGGTTCTTACTGGATTTTGGCTTAACCTCTGTGTTAATCTCTAAACTTAATTTCAGTCACTTTATGTTTAACATTTCAAACAAAGCTACTATTAGTACATTTATGCGATGTAATCTTTTTGAGTAAAGAAAATCACCCTTTGAGGCTGTCACCTGACCTTTGGAGACAGCCAGAAGTCATTTAAAGTCACTAATAGAGGCAATGAAAAAGGAGAATTAATTTGATTCTACCGTTATTGGTTGAAAATAATGTGTGACCATAAATAAGCAAATGGTTTTCTTGCCTGAAGATAGTTTTAAGAGAAGTATATCACAGATGTTTTGACTAATTCTAGCAAAGTTCAAAAAGTATATAGCCTCTCATTGTGATTACTTCAAGACTCATTACAAATTCTGAGGTTTCTCCTCGAAGTCATTCTGTTTTGTGTGTGTCACATGTATACCTTCATTTTCCTACCTCTTTGCTCATTCACAGACCTAAATGTAAAGGAAAAAACTTCACTTTTAAAAATGTAATGTATAACTCTTTAATGAAGTACCCTCTCCCTCTCCCTATTCCACAGGCGAGATTTCTATAAGATCTTGGGAGTGCCTCGCAGTGCGTCTATAAAAGACATTAAAAAGGCCTACAGGAAACTGGCCTTGCAGCTTCATCCTGACCGGAACCCTGATGATCCTCGAGCTCAGGAGAAATTCCAGGACCTAGGTGCTGCTTATGAGGTGAGTCCATAAAAAGGATGAAATATGAATAAAACCTACAGTTACAGAAAAGACAGTATAACACAGAGTAACGTTCCTTTCTTTCAGGTCACTTCTTTTTTAAAATAGACTAGAGGGTTGTAGATTAATGTTAGTATATTGCCATTTCCTGACTTTTTCCTGCCAGTATTTGTCTTATTAAGGAGGGTAATGTTGAAAAAGATGAGAGATTGATAGATTCTTGAGAAGACTGATCCTCGGTCGATCAGTTTGCGAGCTAGTTCCAGAAATAGAAACAAAATCTGAATGAAGATTGCAATTCTGCACAGCCACATGGACAGACGCAAAGCGCACAGGGCAGTTATAACATAAAACTCTGCCTCCATATTGGGAATCAACAGGGAATGGTGAGAACTGTGACAAACTAAAGCCCTCTTTCCCCTTTTCAAGGGAACAGCTATTTTTCAACCCCAGCCAGTTTTTGCCGTATACAAATGGAAACACAGTGTTGCCATTTAAAAAAACAAAACAAAATTAAAAATCCACTATTTTTAAATTTTTTAATGTTTTATTTATTTCTGAGAGAGAGAGAGAGACCGAGAGAGAGAGAGACCGAGACAGCGTGAGCAGGGGAGGGTCGGAGAGAGAGGGAGACAGAATCTGAAACAGGCTCCAGGCTCTGAGCTGTCAGCACAGAGTCCGACTCAGGCCTCGAATCAATGAAACATGAAATCATGACCTGAGCTGAAGTCGGATGCTTAACTGACTGAGCCACCCAGGCGCCCCTGTGTTTTTAATTTTAAATCAAGTAAAAAATCATAATTTTTCAGGAGAAGTGCAAATCCAGAGTTTTTATGTAATTCTTTTGATTGGAAAATTTGTGAAACTAATTCAATTAAAAAATTTCTTTTTTGTGCCGGTCAAACAAAAGACAGCTACAGTTTGCAGTTTGCAAACTAATCTGTAGAGGAAGACACTTTCATCAATATCATCTTGTTTAATCTACACTAGGACACCATAAAATATAGAGCGAGGCATATTCTTAAATCCATTTTCTTTCTTTTTTCATTTTTAATAACACTGAGGAATATTTATTGAATGCTTAATAAATTATTTACTGTTGGAAAAACTTATACACAAATTTTTTCAACAGTATGGTGAAAAAATTTTACAAATAAGTTCTGATCATCTTTTGTCTATTTAAATTAGGAGTTAGCTGTTTTTCATATGAATTCACCTTTCCTCTGGAAATAGATTAAGAGATCAGGGTGGGGGCGGTTCCAGGTTTAATGAGTATAACTGACAAAACTGTAAGTTGTTTAAAGTGTACTTCACGATGATTTGATAGATACATATATTGTGAAAGGATTCTGCCCATGTAATCACTTAACACATCTGGCACCTCACTTATTTGTCTCTCTTTGTGGTGAGAACATTGAAGTTCTGCTCTCCTAGCAGATTTCAGTTATGCATTACAGCCTCATCACGCTAGTCACCATTCCTATTTTCTAGAAGGGCACAGAAAAAAAAAATAAACTCTGAAAGTTATGGAGCTAAAACTTTTGAATTCAGGTTGAATCCCTGGATAG